CCCCTGAAATTTCATAATTAACTATTCCAACCTTTAAATTGGAAGCATTTAAATGTGTCTTTGGGGGTTAATGAGTTAAATTATATCTGCAAACATTAAAAAAATAAGTTCAAGGAAAATATTAAACTTCATTGACCCCTGATTATGATCCTGACCTTGAATGTTGGTATCGACAGTAATATATGCATCAACAAATTAAGTGTCATGTACTTATTGTCTGCATTGGTTCAGGTATATAATCCAAAATATTGCCTTTCACCTCCTATGGGATTTGGTGCTATCTGATTAGGAAATATATTTTCAATGCTTACGTGAGATTTTATTTTCTCCAGCTGTTCGTCTAACATCTCCTGAGTAAGACGGAGTTTGCGTCTGAGGTTAACTTTGTCCTCCTCCAAACTTTCCATGATTTTGTTGATCTCCTCCTCTTTAACTGTGGAACAAAGCGTATTGTTTTATGTTAATTCATATAAAGTGGGCCTTTACCTAAGTTTCCTTTCATATATGAGATTTTACAAAATGAGTTAAACAAATTTTAGCAAGCCTCCAGTGAACTACAATTAAAAACCATGATTAGTTATACAGGAATATGTAACAATTTAACAGACTGATCATTGATAACCTGAATTGTTCTACCATACTGAAGTTGCTTTGTAGTGACCATTGCTTGATCATACCTTTAAATGTCCTGTTCTTCTCGTTTTCTTTTGCTTCCAGAGCATCATGGAGGTCACGCAGTTGTCGTTGGTGATCAACTAGGTCGCCTTGCAACATGGTGAACTTCTTAGGGTCTATGGAGTTGCTGTTCATGTCCTTCAGTTTACTGATCTCAGATTCATGGTCGGCCTTGTGATCAGCCAGCTTCTGACTTGTATCTTCCAGCTGTCATTTTAGAGATATGTTTTGGGTCAGTAATCAATCAGATATTGTTTCACCATAATGAATTATAAAAAAGACAATGGTTGCCATTTAGTTCTTTTTCACCATAACCATGATCACTAGCCAACACACAGGAATATAGGTATGTGTAACAGAAAAACAAACTCTTTGATAGTCAACTTAGTTTCAAAAGGTAACAAGAAAAATGACATTTCAGCAAGGGCCATGTTATATGTCTGAAAGCAGAAGCCACACCATCCACCCAGACAGTCAGACAGTCAGAAACTACGATTATTATAGGGTACTTGTATCTCTAATGTAACACCCTAATAAAGAACACCTGTCTGTATATAATGACACCACTCACCTGATAGGAGACCTTTATTAACTCATTTTCTAGTCTTTCTTTTTCTAACTGAAGTGCCATCATTTTCTCCTGAAATATATAACATCTTATTGTTATTCACAACATACGTTTTATTCTATGTAAAATTAACAATGAAATCTTATTTCAACTTGGAAAATATGTTTCCTTTTTTCATAAATATTCTGCTGAGTTTTAAACTGGTCATGTAAACCTGCGACGTCTACATTTTTCCCTGTTTTTCCCTGCTACACTCTGCCTACCTTTTCTCGTTCCAGGCTGCTGTTTGTCTCCCCTAGATCGTTGTTAAGTAACTCCACCTTGACCTGCAAGTTCTTGTTCTCTGAGCTCATGCTGCTATTAGCCGAGTTAAATGCCATCTGTAAGCAACAGAATTGAAAAGTTCAAATATGCAAAAGATCTGTTGTATAAAATCAGTCTTCACATAGCAGGAATCAGTAAAATCCCTGTGATACAATATCACTCTCCATGCTTTAACAGTTAACATGCAGATGTACCGGTAGGTTAACTGTTATTACATTGTACAGACATGTTCAGTGATAAAAAAAAAATCATATTCTAATAAAAAATCTTCCTACAAGTTGCAGTTTAATGATTATGTAGTTTACATGCAGAGAACAAACTCAGCCTTTTGATATCGATGTTTTGAAGTTTCTTTTACAGCTTAGCAAGAACACACTGTCATTAATATCCCCCGCTTGCAGTGAAAAGTCATTAAAAAATGAAGTGTAAAATATAGGGCAAAATCAGCATCCTCAATATGCATTCAGTAAAGCAACCATAGATACACAATTGATGCAAGTTTAATCAACATAGCACTTGTAGTA